TGTGTGTGTAGGTGGGTGGGTGGGTGGGTGAGTTTGTGCAGGCGAGGTTGGGGCCGCGCCAAGGGAGGGGCGGCAGGCGTCTGAGTGGGTGGTGCCCAAACGCAAAGAGGGCGCGGCCGTGGCAGGGGCGGCCGCTCGAGGGCCTGCGTTGACGCCTTCGGGTGGGGGCAGCCGGCCTAGGCCACTCTGTCGGCCCGCGGCCGCCCGCGGCCGCTGCTCGCCTGCTCGCGCCTCCCCGCGCGCTGCCTCCCCCCACCCCTGTTTTGGATACCCTGCTTTGTATATATTCACATCCAACCTCCTCAGCCCCTACCCACCATCCCCCCCTCTCGCCCCCGCTTTCATACTATCGCCCCTTCCCCAGGCCAAGATGGAGTCTGCGCGGCAGAAGGCCACATCTATTGCGGCCCAGGAGGACGTGCCCATGGCCAGCAAGATGCGGGAGATCGAGAAGCTCTACGCCAAGGCGCGCGCGTCCGCCGGCGGCAAGAAGGGCGGGAAGAAGGGCGGGAAGAAGGGCAAGGGGCCGCCGCTGGACAAGCGGATGCGGGCGGACAAGCGGGGGTTGGACAAGATCGCGAAGCGGACGGGCGGGAAGAAGGGCGGGAAAAAGGGCAAGGGCGGCGGCGGCGGCGGCAAGGGCAAGGGGCGCGGGAAGCGGTGAGGGGGCGAGGTTTGTCGGCTGGAGTTTGCAGGTGTAATGTTTTGGTACAGATTCAGCAGCAAGAGTTGCCGGGTTACACGGTTGGGGGCCGGCTGACGGTGCAGTGCACTTCTGGGTGTGTGGATGGCGCGATGGCACAGGGGGCGGACCTTCGCGTCACTTGCTGGCCGGGTGAAATGTGCCATTATATTGGCACCATCACCTGCTTAGGTGGTCACTGGGGTCTGGGCAGCCGGCTGCTTGAGCTGCCCTGCACACATGATAGTCAGGAGTACCTGGTGTCCCTATTTGCTGCCAAGCAGTGCCAATGGAGGAAGAATCTTTCAAGCTGCAGCAGCCACAGTATGTGAATTGCACGGGCCGCCAGCAATTCAGTAATTTGCACGGCGAATCAAAAAGCCAAGGTTCCACACGCATGAAGGGAATTTGTCATCATATGTGAAAAGAAAAGGGGTTTGCGGTTCAAAGGTTTGGGGTTTACAGGGTGGAGCGAGGGAGCAGTATAACATGGCTGGTACTTCATTTTGATGGTAGTGTGGAATTGAAAATGTGGCGAGGGCACACTTGGACTGCACCATCGACCCCCCACAAAGAGGCGAAGAGGTTGAGCAGCACATCAGTGATCTGATCATTCATAAACGGCAGCAAGTGAACATGGTCCCAGTGGACTGGCAAATTGGCAGCCAGTGCAGCCCCCGTCATTTCTCGCAAATCCAACACATGCCAGCCGCAGCTGCGAGCCACAGCGGTCAGGTTGCCTTCCATCTCTGTCAACTTTTGGCTTGGCGGGTTGTCGTGATACGTGGTTCGCCAGATCAGCTCTGTTTTGCCGCCTTTGATGTTTGACTGCTCCTGTTTGGCGCGGCAAAGCACATGTGACCAGTAGGCGGTCATGTTCTCACCGCCCCACGCCCCATGATTGAGGATTATCACATCGGTGCCGTTGTGCATGAGCGCTTTCAAAGTCTCCAGATCACGAGTGGCGTTCGTAGCGCCGTAGAGCGGGTATGTGTCAAGATTGAAATTGCCCTTGGTCGACCTGACATCCATTCGCCAGGTCACACATTTTTTGTCGTCATCATGCAGACAAAGATGAGATGAATTCATACAGCTCGAGGTTGTGGTGATTGACTTGGCAAACCAGCGACTCAGAAGCACGTGGGTATCCTTGGTGTCAGTCGCATACAAAGGGTTGCGAAACTGAGCTTGATGATTCAGGCTTGGGGTTGTGTCGGGAACGCCTGCATACCGCTCAATGGCTTTGCCTCGTGCCAGGTACACTTTGAAGTTCATGATCTGGTACCTTGTCGTCGAGTCTCCATACAAGACCACAGTTTTGCCCAGCATGACACCCCGTGCTTGCGCAGCTTTGTAGCGCCGCAAACGGCACCCGTGAAGCTCGTAATAGTGCTCCCCTTGAGAGTCACGATAAAAGGACCCTGAAAAATTTGTCTGGAGGGTTATCTTGCACCAAGGCCGGTCATAGGTGGTATTGTGATGTGGCAAAGGCACCTTTGCGACTTTGAGGTAGTACAGGCCTGACTTATTGGTAGGGACATGTCGAGGCACGTCGCGCAGCGCACCAAAATTGTCAGTGTTCGGATGTCGCTGCATTTGGGACTGAAGCTGCTCGGCCGACTGGATTCCAATAAACAGCAGCAACGGTGCAGCACACGTAGCGGCTGCAAACAACAGTTTTAATTTCATCCTGTGAGGGAGGTGAGAATGTGCGTTTTATGCGAAGTGTTGTCTGAAAGTGTTGTCTGGCTGGATGGTGTTTGAGGGGGGGGGTGATAACATGAGGTGCCGCAACCTAAATGATGAACGGCGTATGTCCATTCTGGGCAGTGAGGGAACTGGAGTGCGACATGTCTGGGGCTCATCCCAGGGTTGCAGAGCATGCACTACATACATCGTGCATGCACACCGTCACGCATGACCATGCAAGCAGAGATGGATCAGCGCTCGAGTGCTAGTTTTTTGGGTAGTGACGTTGGGCGAGGCTAGCTAGTGGCTCGCCACCATCAGGCAACCATACACACAAACCGCAGCAAGGCGATCTGGAGCGTCCAGATCGTGAGCGGGAGTCTCTGCCCGTACCTACACTGCTCCAAGTTCTGTACAGCCTTTGCTCCACCAAATCACTTGCTGCGCAGGAGGCCGCGGCACGCACGCCCTGTACGATGGCAGTAGGACCAGGCAGCCCTGATCGCGCCGCAGGTTGAGGTGAGACTTACTTATCAAAATCAGGCGGTATACACGATACAAAACGAGAAGACGGCCGTTTCATACAATAGACGAAAACCTTGAGTACCTTGGAGCCGTAGTCAGCCATCACATAGGAAGTGTCAGTGTGGGGAAGGGTATGACTCCTGCGAAACAAGCCCGAGTCGACGCGCAGCGCACCGTTACATATATTTTTTGCATCTTGTGATCAAATTCTTGTCACGTAACCCTTGAATGCTCCCGGTATAGGCAGTTGTTCTGCGGGGTAAAGCTGTGGGATGAATGTGCACCCTGAGGATTGTGGGCCATACATACTCGATCTTTGTGCTATGTGGTGTGAATACTTACATCAGCACAAGTCAGTGGCACGAATAACCTGTGCTTTACGCACATCGATGTCAGCGCTCAACTGGCCGCTGGCTGCGCCGCTTACTCCGTTACCTAGATCTTGACGATCAAAACATTTTGCTCTGCACTGGTAGCGGTGCGGCGCTTGGATCGAGTGCCAGGACGTGGACGGAACTCGCAGGCACTCGCTGAGGCAGGTGACGCCGTCCTCTACTCACACCCTGTGCGCGCTGCACAAGGCAAGGTCACAGCCATCGAGGTTCTGAACGCGTGACTGGATATATATCAAGGTATGATTAGGCGCAGCTGTGCAGCTGAGGATGTAAAAATGAGGCCTCCAGATACGGACGGGTTTTGCAGATGTGCTGCCACACCATGTGCTTCTACCCCACTCCAAGAGGTGTCTGTGGCGCACGTAAAAGTGCGCCACTATTATCAAAACAACTCTGATGGTGCATTTAAGCTCCGTCGGATAACTTTTTCAAAAAGGTGCGCGCACGTCCAGCCCTCCAATTTGACTGGGGTCACACCTTGCCTGTCAAGTGTGCGGCAAGCAGCAGAGTGCTCAAAGCGAGTGGGGTATCCCTGCCCGCACCCGGTACTCCGCGATTCGTGTCGCGAATCCCCTGAGCACAAGTGCGAGTCGATCAGAGCGGCAGGAGGGGCTTGAGCTTGCGTTGCAGTACATGGAAAGCGGCAAGCAGGGGCGAAGGGGACAGTGCGTGCTCGTGCTTTGTATAAAACGAGATCCCGTCGACGGCGAGGCAAGTGAGCCGCAGCGCCGGTGCCTGTCGGTGGAGGGGGGCTGGCGCAGGCGGGCAGGTGCGTATGACTTAGGGGGCGGGGCCGCGCCAATGCACGAATGTAAATGATGTGTGCTCAGGATAGGCGGGGCGGGCTGGCATAGGCAGCTCTTCACCTGGTGTGCAGCAGGCTCAGGCACCAGAGGGGGGGGCGTGCGGGAGGGGGGAACGTTGGCAGGGTGGCTGCTAACGGAGCGATGCGGCGGCGGGCGGCGGCCTGGCGGCGGTGGCGCACAGCGTGCTGCTACAGAGCACGCATGCGGCTGCGGGTGAAGCATGCTGTTTTTGTCATCATTTCGCACTCGGTCGAGTGGAAGAGAATGGTGATGAGGACCAGCGGGTGCAGCGGAAGAGTGCTGGTGGTTGCGAAAATCCCCGAGTGGCGGTGCAGCAGCCTGTGCAGGCGGCGGTGCAGTGCGGGGCCGAGGTAGCCCTCAAGGCAGGGCTCGGTGAAGACGAGGCCCGGCTTTGGGGACGAACGATATGACAGCGCAGTGCTGCGCCGGCGCCTTGCGGGGGGGTGCGTAGCTCAGCAGCCTGTGAGAATGACACAGCCGACGCCCCTATCCGCCTCCTTGGAATCCTGATGACCGTTGACCGTTGACCGCTGGGGCTGACAAGCTACCGACAGTACTGCATGCGGCGCAACGATCCCTGCGTGTTGGTCGCGCGCAGCCGCAGCAAGGTGTCGGCCATGTCGATCGTCAGTGAGGCAGACCAGTATTTCAATGGGGCAGCACAGGAGTTTGCCAACCCACAGCATCAGCAGGCACTGGCGCCACTGCCGAGTTGAGGTGACATCCATCACACCTGGCCAACGCGAAGCCCGCATGCGTTGGCGTGTCATGGGCAGCGTTTAGACAGACCTTGTGTACCTGTTGCAACCAGGCTTTGCCTCCATAAATAAGATCACCCTCACCGATCTGCGCGTGTGCGAACGTCACACACTTTGTTCAACGGCGAAAATACATGGGAGCTGTGTCATAGTGAATTTTGAGAAGGGACGGTCTCGGCGGCAGGGCGGCCAGTTTAGCAGGGATGGCGGACGACAGCCTTTACGACGAGTTCGGCAACTACGTAGGCCCTGAGCTGTCGGATAGCGACCAGGTGCGGCTGACCAGCAAGCGAACAGCGCACCGCTGTCATGGGCGGACGCTGCGCCCGCTGCGCCGCTGCTCTGTGGCCGGTCGCCGAGCGCAGCGCGCCACCGCCGCAGGAGGAGGCCGACGCTGCGGATGGCGTAGTGGAGGACGACCATGGGGATGAGGACATGGAGGAGGCGGACGGGCAGGTTGACGAAGGTGCGTTTCGCGAGCAGCGCTCCCAAACTTCTCGACACAGTTGCGCCCGCCTGCCCCCTCCCTGTCGCTAGTCAGCGCGCAGCAGCCAATGCCATGCGGGCCCCCGCCGGCGGGCGGCTGGTGCGTGCTTGCGCCGTAGCCGGCGGCTGGCTCGCCACCATCACAGCAGGGACAACCGCAGCACAAGCATGGCCGATGGCGGTCGTGTGAGCTCACGGCCCCGCTCCCGCCGCCGCCGCCGCCCCGCGCCGCCCGCCAGAGGACGAGCCCGCGCCTGGCGGCCAGATCGTCCTGGCCGAGGATAAGAAATACTATCCATCAGCAGAGGAGGTCTATGGGGAGGGCACGGAGACACTGGTGAGATCAATTGAGAGGGCAGCGGCAGAAATGTTGCGGGGCACGCGCGCGCCCGCGGCGGGGTGCGCCCCAGTCCTTTTTCGAGGGACCCAGATGCGGCGGCGATCCCCAATATGCGAGAGGGCGGCGGCGGCGGCGGCGGCGGCGGTGCCGTCGGTTGGAGGCAGGCGCTGCAGTGCGGCGGCCGCGGCGCCCCGAGCAGGGGCGCCCGCCGCCCAGGCGCGGCCTGCATGGTCGCCCTGCACGCAAAACCCTCCACGCGCGGCGTCTCGAGCGCCGCCCCCACGCCTCGCCGCTCCCCTTGTCCCCCAGCCCATGTACTCGTGCGTTTTGCTGGATGGCTGCCATCGCAGCTGCATCTTGACATAAACTCCCACTCCTTCCCTCCAACCCCCGCTCCCAGCCCCCTGTCTTGCAACCTGCTGCCAAGCGCGCACCCGACGCGACGCGCCCCCCCCCCCCCAAAAT